ACAATTTTAATCCGTTTTTTTTTTTTCCTCTGCAGGATTCAGGGAAACTAAAACATGTTTCAAGCGTCATATCTTTTAAGGACTTCTTTCCCATACAGCTATGTCAGTACCACATGTTTCAACTTTCTCTTTACTTATCAGTTTCAGCACAGGCAGAGAATACAAGTCTGAACGCTAATTCCTTTGCTCCTACTGTTTGTGTCTCTTGACATGACCCCAGGCTGATATCTGCAGACAGCTGCCTGGCTTGCATTAGCTAAAGTACTGTAGTTCTGTTGTTCACTTGACTACCATGGCTTCACTTCTATTAAGAAGAGATAACACCTGGTCAGAAAAAACACAAACTAAGCTCAGATCAGTGTCTTTCTTTTTTTTTCTCCGTCTCTTCCTGTTGGTGATGATGTTGAATTCACAACAAGATAACTACAGACAGCTCGACCTGGACTCAGGACAGTCCCCTAAACCTCAGCAGGTCCACATTTAGTGTAACTATTCATGTCACAGTTTACAGTACTGTGCTCATGCAAGACATTAGTCTTGCTAATAATAAACTTTTTCTAACACAGACCCATTATCTGTGGTATAACAAAGAGTTCAGTTTAACTCTGGTACTGTATTCATGAGAGCTGAACCGAATGACTTCAGTCAGCCCAGTAACATTTAGTTACCTGCAAGTGTGTGCCTCTGTGAATGTATGTGTGCAAGAGAAAGAGACAGTGTGTGTGTGTGTTTAATGTGTGAGAGCGTCAACCTTGAAGTGACCTAAGGGATTGTATTCAGTAATTATCTGATTACTCTTCTGTTTTTCCCCACTCAGACAACCTGCAACTGGATAACGCTGTAACTCCCTGATTACAACTTACTCTACAATCAATGACCCATTAACAGGAGCATGCAGTCACTACACATGTCTTCACACACACGCACACACGCACACACACACACACACACAATGGTGTCACTAAAAATATTGACACCACCATTACAGCCACTGCTTCTGTGACACAATCTCCTAGAAATTATGCTCATTTACCTCTAAACTGTTTTCCCAATTACATTGTGGTGGCAACGTAATCGCCGCCTTGATCATATTCAGAGACAAGTCTTCTTTTTTTTGAATGAATGAATCCCTACATTTATTGACAGCAGCAGATTTGCAAGGAGCAGGTTGGGGTGGTTAGCAGGAGTACCAAAAGCACAGCTGTCACACCAGTGACCAGAGTTTGCGTCCAGCGTGCTGTCTGAGGTCAGGTTTGGTTGAGGTTAGTGAAAGATCGTGGTTTTAGTGAAGTCACTGTGAATGTTTCTGTATTGAACCAGACCACGATTTTTATGTAACCTTAACCAAGTGCTGAAACATAACCATTAAAAAGTGATAATGTTACAAGTGGATATTGTGTGACATGATCATATACCATATTTTGGTAGAAAACAAATGCATCGTCTGTGAACTTTTTACTGATAGGTTCAGTATCAACGTATTTGCGACTTATCACACACGTAAATTAACAACACACCCTCATTATGTTGAAAACATAATCCGGTCTCAATACAACTCGAATTTGCTAATTAGTTCTGCATAATCATAATTTCATTGAGACAGAGTTGGCTTGAGAGGATAGTATGATGAAATGAATAATACAGCAGAATCTTCAGTGACACAAAACCGCAACTGCTAAACTTTTCTTATCTTGTGACTTTGCTATTCATCTCTCTCACTCGATGTTTTCAGTGTTTTCAGTGCTTTTTGCAGACATCAGCGCTTCACTGAAAGCCTGGTGATGCACCACAAGAAAAGAGCGTTGCCTTCCTCTTTCCATGTCTTTTCACCATGCTTCCATTTATGGAAATGTTTGCCCTTGCCTTGTCAAGAATCTCTCTGTGAGAGGAGGAGATAATGCCTGGCAGCCAGAGAACAGCAGAGTCAATCTTACACACAAACAGACACAGCACGCACAAAGCCGTGGTTATGGGTACACGCATCCCAACAAGGACACACACATTTACTGTACACACACAAACATTAACTCACACATAAAAACCCTTGTAGTCTCTGTGAAGTGACAACATAATGGGAGATTTCCAGGTTTTACTCAGATGGCTGTCTAAGATGCTGCATTGTTTTTTTGTTTTTTTTAAAAAGTCAAGACTCATCAATCAGTTTCCCTTTCAGTCATTTGCTAATGAAACAGCCGTATGAGGCAGATGTTGAGACACACAATACTCTGACTGCAGTATAACTTAAACATCAGTGACGTGAGACACACGGTAACAACAACGACAAACAAAGACAACCAGTTTCGGATGAAGGGCAGCTGGTGCACACCACTATCACGACATGAACGCCAAAGGCAGAGCTTAACATTTTAAAGCCATCACTGCCTATCATATTTAGTCAAACAAAACACAAAACCCACTATCATCACTTCTTGGTTTTATCCTTAGGTGTTTCTTGTCATTGGCAATTACTTATTTTGGTCAGATATGTTAGTCACATCCCTGCTTTGGTCCTGTCTTTGCTCCACTAGTCTGGAGCAGCAGTCTTGAAATAAAATTTTCTAGCTAAATGATCTTGTCTGTAACACAGGCCTTGCAACTTAATTCTGAAACCCCTGGAGCACCAAGAGATCTGCAGCTTTGGTGCCAGACTCCGGTCCAGACTCATGGGACGACTGCCTTTTGGGGCCTATGTAGTCAACACTTGAGTTTCTGTTTTAATTAATCAAAAACAGATTGATTTGACATGATCTGGATGAACAGTATATCTGAAATATCATCTTTTTTTTTTAGTCCGCTGGTTCCGTGTCCCGCAACATACTCAGATCAAAACTACTTTGCTTCAACTAAAAAGTCCCCTCCTACCTCATCAACTCTCATTCAGGAACAATCACTGAAACAAAACTGCAACTGCTCCAAATTCGCCACGTTCAAGACGCCTCTTAAAACTCACTTTTTCTGCCAGCGCGGAGGCATCATGTTTTCGCATGTTTGAACGCGATATCTCAGTAACGCCTTGAGAGAATTTATTCAAATTTGGCACAGTCCTTCACTTGGACTCAAGGATGAACTGATTATTATTTGGTGGTCAAAGGTCAAGGTCACAGTGACTTCACAAAAACAAGTTTCAATCATACACTCGATTGATACACTAATTATGACACAATCTAACATAAATCTCTAATAGGATAAAATGATGAAACTATGATATTATATATCCAAGGGTCAAAGGTCAACTTCACTGTGTTAACGTCACAATGTTCTGCAAAAACACTTTCTGGCCATTATTCTGCAGTGTAACTGAGATTATGACCATATTTGCTGCATCAAGAAAAGACAAGAAAGGTGTCAGAGAGCATCAGAAATGCTTTTATCAGAAAAACATAATGATTTCAAAGGCAACAGGGCAATAGTCAAAGACCTTGAAATCCCTGTTTCAACAGTTTGCTATCTTATCGTGAAGTTTCACAGTCATAAAACTGTTAAAAAGCCTCCAGGATGTGCTGCTAAGAGGAAACTCAAAGAGACGAGTTTGCAAAGGTTGGTGTAGATTGTGTAAAAAAAGAAAAAACACCACACAAGACATCCAAAGAGCTTCAGGCTGACCTGGAGCAATCTGTAATGGTGGTTTCAGCCCGTATCATACACCGCATACTAAACCAAGAAGGGCACCATGGGTAAAGGCCAACGAGGACACCACTACTGGAAGAAAGGCACAAAAAGGCAAAAACTTTCATAGACAAGCCACAACCTTTCTGGGATAGTTTTCTATGGACAGATGAAACCAGAGCAGAGCTCTTTGGGAATGCACTGCATCGGTTTGTTTATAGGAGACTACACCGTACAGTGAAACATGGTGGAGGTTCTGTCTTACTGTGGGGCAGTGCTGCCTTTGGTACTAGAGACACTGAATTTATTAAGGGAATGATGAAATCAGAAGGCCATCATTGTTGCCAATGGTTCTGCAACCAAATATTGATTAAAGGTGCCAATAACTGTGTCCGGGTTACATTTTGTATTTGTATTATTTCACTATTGTGCAGGTTTTGTATTTTTATTTTCTTGTCTTCAATAACATTTTATTAAAATATTTTGATTATGCAAAGTTATATGCTGAATTCTGTACTTAAAATTCAGTAGTGCCAATAATTTCAATCAGGTCTGCATACTCATAAACACATACAGTGATGGAAAATTGTTCAGAACATTTCACATTGTGACGCAATTTAGTACAAAACCACCTCAACAAAATCTAAACATTTACAGCGTCACATTCACGTTTCCACATCATGTAGGTTCATAACTAAAAAAGCATGACCAAAACAGCAGTAATTCATATACAATTAGCAGGTACAATGTGCTCTCCATTAAAGCTATTTTTTTTTTCTCCCAGAGGTTGGCAGTTTTCAGTGTCACACACAGGTAATCATTGTTAAAGGGAGAGGCAAAGATACTCAACCCTCACATGAGAAATGAACTGGAAAGTAGAAAGAAGCCTCTGGGCTCAATCATTCTAGTGACTCAGCCACTTGGCCCATATGGGAGGGATATCATGCAACCAGGGATTTCTAATCCATGAGGCTCACGGCTCGCTGTCTGTGCTGTGAAGTACAGGCATTTTCAAGAGTTGCCCCACCCTGATGGAGCTGCAAAGGCGTAAAAGCCTCTGAACTAAGAAGACCTTTCTTTGTTGGATTACTCTTATTCCTCTTCCTTTTATTAAAGAACTTTTTGTGTGTTCTTCCTGGCAACCTGCCGCTGTGGTCTCGTATTTCACTGTGAATCCGACCTCTGCATTCCCTCGGGCAGTGCACAGCCTATTCACTCCGACTTTACAACATGTGAAAAGAAATTGGCTGCAGAGGCTGCCTGCAGTGGTAATCTATGATAGATCCAATACTGTGAATGCTGTACACAGACACCGGCAGACTCACAGGAGTACGTGCTGTACACACACACACACACATACACCAGAACGGATGTAAACGCATATATCTACCTACCTGTGTGGCTCCTGTGTGCATGTGTCAGGGAGGCCAGACAGAGGGACAGCAGTAGACTCCACACACCTACTCCACAAATGCAAGGACCCCGTTCCCGCATTCTGCCAGGAAGAAACAAAAACACACACATACTCTGTTAGAAAACAAACATGAACAAAATGATTAGAATATACTGTGCATTGTATGACTTTTTTAAACTGTTAGTGGAAGGTATGCCCCCGCACACGCACCCCCCCTTACTGCCACTATTGGCTTTCTAGCAATATGGCTCTTGGGATGACAATGTCAGCCTTTCTGTCTGCTTTGGTCCAGGCTGAAATGTCCTTCTCAATAAATGTATGAGAGAAAGGTCAACAACTACAGGACGGACTGCCATGAAATTTTGTAGAGGCATTCATAGTCCCCAGTGGATTCATCTAATCTTTGGCCATCCTCTCACTTTTCCTCTAGCACCACTATGGGGTTCATATTTGTGGCTTTTGAGTGAAATATCTCAACATCTATTGGCTGGATTACTATGTAATTTTGTGTAGACATTCATGTTCCCCTCAGGATGAATTATGATAATTTAAACTTAATCTAGCAGCATGATTAGGTCAAAATGTAGACTCCTCCATACTTACTTTTTGTTTACGACCAAATACAAAAGTAATGACTTTTGCACCAGCTTTGTGCTAAGGGCCAATTAGCAAATGTTAGCATGCTAACACACGGAACTGAGCATGGTACAGGAAACATTACGTCTTTCTTCATAAAGCACACAAATACAAACCTTAGACCACTTTCTAAGATAACTGTAAAACATATAGACACAACCTGCATTCACAGACTCCTTTCACTTCCTCTCTGCTTTGCCAAAGTAAAAATATATTTACACAGGCAAAATTATTGTTTGCCGCAAACACATTCAAAACGAAGGAGAGATAGAGAGATACACACACAGAGGGAGAGAAGTAACGGCACGGAGGAAGAAGCAAAGGGATGACAGCATGAAGCACAGAGGAAGAATCAGAAGACGAACGTTGCTTGTAAATGTGGAAACTTGTGTTTAATTCTCTGTCTTGGCAGCAAACAGTAACAGCAGCATCAAAAACAGAACTGATCCAAGTTCTGCTAATAGCCTAAAGTCTACACCATCGCCAGTCCAGTGATTAACTACTGTGTTTGTATTTTTGATGGCTGCAAATAGATGGCATCTGTTAAGTGAAGAGGATTGTAATCCGAAGCAAAGCAGTGCAAAGCTTTTACAGCCTACCCAGGTCTGACAAATGTCTGCTGAGGACACAAACGTACACAAACTCACAAACAAGGCAATAAGCCCTGTAATAAAAACAATAATGAAAACTTTCTAATAAAAAACAAATCAAGAGTTATGTTTTATTAATAGTGAGCTGTACGGTTTTATAAATGGATTCTATCTGATTATTATATTATTAAAGTACTTTATATTCTGACAGGCAAATTATGACTCCACCAGTGAAACTGTTTTGTAAGTAAACTTACTTACTCACTGTGTGTGTGTGTGTGTGTGTGTGTGTGTGTGTGTGTGTGTGTGTGTGTGTGTGTATGTGTGAGTTCGTGCGTGCGTGCGTGCGTGCGTGTACTGTATGTGTAAATGTGTGAATAGATAATCGCAGGAGGCTGGCAAAACAACAAATGTGACACTGAGATAGAACATGAAAAGAAAGTAGCAGTCCATTTTAGTTTCAACACGCCCAATTTATATATATATATATATATATATAAATAAAAAAGAACAGGGTATATCCTTCTGAGTTTTGGGAGGATGCAGATTTGACCCCAAACACTTTGTGAACCACTGCTACTACTCGTGGTCTCTTTGCAACTCCGACTCTCCTGCAAACACCTGCAAGAGCTGAACTCTGTCTTCATGTGGTTCTGCCATGTGAGGTTTTGTTCAGATTGGAGTGAACATGATGTTGCCTTCCACCTCACAGCGCAGTTTTGCAGCGTTACTCAAGCTACTTTGGAAGCTGTCACTGCAGCGAACGCTTTAGAGCGGGACCACAATCACCTGACAGTAAAATAAAGTGACACTAAACTCAAAACATGGATTTAGTGTTAAGTCGCTCTTTAAATACTTATGATAGTGACTGATTTAGTTTTCTAGCAGGCCAGCAAAGGTGAAGAAAGAAAGAAAAAAAGAAAAATATTCTTGTGAAATACTTTTTTGAGCAGATATGTGATGATGTACATAAAACAAACCAAACTTTCCAGGTTTGTGTGAGAGTCTGTGCAGATTAGCTCAGAGCAGACGAGATTATACACAAACCTGCTTGGGTCTGAGTATGTGCTGATTTGTTTACTTGCGCACACGTATTCGAGCATATACAGTATATCTGCGTGCCTGCTTGTGTGTGTGAGCACTTTTGCCATGAGGACGTTTGTGTGTGTTAAGCCCTGGCTTGAGTTCTGAGCTGGGTGTGTGAGTCATTTGGCTATGTAACCTGGCATTTCTAGAGCTTGGAGAAGCTGCAAAGCCAGACAGGCTGAGCCAAGGCTTTCTCTGGTTAGAGGGCATCTCACTCACACAGACACACATACACATGCACACACACGCAGAGAATCATACTCATATACGCTTTATTGTCGCTTTTCGTCTTTTCTCCCATTCATCTCTTCTCGTCTCCTTTAGTCTTCCTATATCCTCTCCCCTCTCCCTCCTCCTCTTACCCTCTTCCCTCTGTCCTCACCTATGCTCTGCTTGTAGTAAATAATTAGGAAACAAAGCAGAGATGCTGCCTGCTTCCTCTCCAGCTCATTTAGACACACAGCAGTGTTTGTGATGATGCAGTGCCACTTCATTATGGCTGGTTGTTTGGTCTGTCTGCCGCAGAACGAGTGGGTGTGTGATACAGAAATGGATTCAGAAAGGAGCCGAAAGAGAGAGGGAGAACGAGAGAAAGGAGGGGAGGCAGTGCGTGTGTGTGTGTGTGTGTGTGTGTGTGTGTGTGTGTGTGTGTGTGTGTGTGCATGGTTGCGTGTGTGCGTGTGTGTGTTTGGCTGCTCAGGAACACGGGGTTCTGATCAATAGCATCTAAACAGCTTGGCTCTCCATCAGTATCAAACTCAGCAGCTGATGGTGACTCATGCGTGTGCACACACACACACACACACACACACACACACACATTAGCACAAACGACAGCAGTTTTTATGCATGGATAAACCAAAACGCTCAATGATGTGAGCTAGAAAGTTTGTGAATTTTAAGATCTGATTGTGTGCTAACAGTTTGTAAACACTTGTGTTTACACTTGTTTACATCTGTGAACTGTGAATTGTTCCACGCACGTGTGTGCAGCCGCTTGAGGTACTGTAGACATCAGATAGAAATTCCTGAACACCTTTGATCATATCCGCCGGCATGAATAGTGGTAAGACGGCGGCATTGCATCCTCTAACCCTGGATGATGTAGCTTTCATTAACCGAACACAGAGGAGCAAAAGGGAAAGGAAGAGCGAGAGGAGAAAGAGATAGAGTTAGAGAAAGAGTGGTGGTCTCCGATGAGTTCTGCAGTCTGTTCCATCCCTTTAATTAGTCCCATTGGAGTGCCCTCCCCGCTCCACATGGCTGATCAGCTTCCCCTCTATATCTCCAGTCTGTATTTGTGTGTGTGTGTGTGTGTGAGAGAGCGCGTGGCCGTGTGTGTGTTTGTATGCATCTTAGCTAAAGCTGGACAGACATCTCACGGGCATATGAGCTCTGGTTGAGCTCCCAACGGTCGTGGAGAAAAATGTAGTGGAAATACATTAATATTCAAGGAGTTTCCATTCCCTGAGATATCCGCCATTTAGAAAATGGGATGCCTGTACACTCTACATCAGTCACTGCGGCAATTAACATGAAGTGATTTTGCTGCCAGAAGATATTGCTGTGTATTGTCACCACATTATCCCTTGTCCAGAAAAAAACTGAAGTGGGTTTTTAAATAGTGACAAATTATTTTAATCTTTGTCGGTGAAATAATTTGGGAGAATAAATAGTTTTGAGGCAGCAGGTCGAGTCGCTAAAGTATAAGCCATCTTTAAGGAGTCTTCACACATAACCTGTTTGCTTCAGGTAACACGAACTCTGGTGTGTTTGCTCATTTAATGTTGTTCATTCGGGATGACCAAACAATCAAATCAGGACCAGCTGAAGATGAGGGTTTGTGAAAGTACACGGATCAACCGCAGTATTTTTTGATAGTAGACTCTTAAATCTATTAGGTCGGTTTAACTTAAAACCCTAAGTTCCCCTGCCGCCTTTCAAATGCAAGTTAACTGAACAGAAGTTAATTAATTAGTTCAAAGTCATCTCATGAGTTGTGAAAATGAAAAACTAGTTAAGTTAAAAGACAAGTTCAGTGAACGTAAGTAGTCACACCGTGGATTTTCTTCCCTTCTTCATTTCACAGCTCAAAGAATCAGTTCCTCATTTGACACAAATAATTTTATATCTTTATACCTGAGTTAATACAAAGACAACATATGAAGCCGCTCAGAGTAACTTTGATTATATATTAAAAAGTGCACTGGTGTAGAGACTGGATTCGACACTAACCTTCATCGTGGTTTCCATTGTTTTTATTTTCATGAGAAGAGACAAACATGAGTTAATTCAACTTGTTTCCAATGTGAATATTTATGTGTTGCTGAATCTGTTGAATCCATTTGTTAATTGAAGCGATCTTAAGTAATATGTATGACCACTATACTGTATACTATATATTTATTTAACCGTGGTAACATGTATGTGCATCAGCACATGAGAGCATGGATTTTTCCCAGATCAACAGTCGAAACCAGTTAAAGCTGCACTGTGTTGTGCTTTTATCCTACTCTGAGTAATTTGACAGTTCATTAAGTCCATTAAAAAGTATGTGATGTAGCGACCCCACAGCAGCCCCAGTAATTCCTTCCTCTTTTTCATCCTACTTCTGCCTGTTTGGCATTATTCATAACATGCAGTTTAATTGCAGTCTAATAATACTACTAATGCTCATCATCCGTTATTTCTTCTCGAGCTCTTTGTGACACCAAAGAATATAAATATACGCATAAGAAGAATTAAAGTGCTGTGTGAATTGCTGTCCT